TGATGAGTGGCCTTGGGGTGCCTGTTGGATGCAGGATGAAGCATGGCAAACGGCAGGCTTGGACCCCCATGACGGGTTGTAAGGGTTTTAAGGGTTTTGAGGGTTTTTAAGGGTTTTTAAGGGTTTAAGGGCTGGCAAACGGCAGGCTTGGACACCGATAAGAAGCCATTGATGTGTGGCCTTGGGGTGCCTGTTGGCTGCAGGATGAAGCATGGCAAACGGCAGGCTTGGACCCCCATGACGGGTTGTAAGGGACGCCCATAAGAAGCCATTGATGAGTGGCCTTGGGGTGCCTGTTGGATGCAGGATGAAGTATGGCAAACGGCAGGCTTGGACCCCCATGACGGGTTTTAAAGGTTTTAAGCCTTTTGAGGGGTTTTAAGGGTTTTAAGGGTTTAAGGGCTGGCAAACGGCAGGCTTGGACGCCCATAAGAAGCCATTGATGTGTGGCCTTGGGGTGCCTGTTGGCTGCAGGATGAAGCATGGCAAACGGCAGGCTTGGACCCCCATGACGGGGTGTAAGGGTTTTAAGCCTTTTGAGGGTTTTTAAGGGTTTTAAGCGTTTAAGGGCTGGCAAACGGCAGGCTTGGACGCCCATAAGCAGCCATTGATGTGTGTGGCCTTGGGGTGCCTGTTGGCTGCAGGATGAAGCATGGCAAACGGCAGGCTTGGACCTACCATGACGGGTTGTATTAAGGGTTTTAAGGGTTTGAGGGGTTTTTGCCAAGGTTTTTTACGCGGGTTTAAGGGATGGCAAAAGGCAGGCTTGGACCCCCATGACGGGTTGTAAGGGTTTTAAGGGTTTGGAGGGTTTTTAAGGGTTTTAAGCGTTTAAGGGCTGGCAAAGGGCAGGCTTGGACGCCCATAAGAAGACATTGATGTGTGGCCTTGGGGTGCCTGGTGGCTGCAGGATGAAGCATGGCAAACGGCAGGCTTGGACCCCCATGACGGGTTGTAAGGGTTTTAAGGGTTTTGAGGGTTTTTAAGGGTTTTAAGCGTTTAATAAGGGTTTTAAGCGTTTAAGGGCTGGCAAACGGCAGGCTTGGACGCCCATAAGAAGCCATTGATGTGTGGCCTTGCGGTGCCTGTTGGCTGCAGGATGAAGCATGCCAAGGGAATGTTTAAGGCCTGGCAAACGGCAGGCTTGGACCCCCATGACGGGTTGTAAGGGTTTTAAGCGTTTGGAGGGCTTTTAAGGGTTTTAAGCGTTTAAGGGCTGGCAAAGGGCAGGCTTGGACGCCCATAAGAAGACATTGATGTGTGGCCTTGGGGTGCCGGTTGGCACCAGGATGAAGCATGGCAAACGGCAGGCTTGGACCCCCATGACGGGTTGTAAGGGTTTTAAGCGTTTGGAGGGTTTTTAAGGGTTTTAAGCGTTTAAGGGCTGGCAAAGGGCAGGCTTGGACGCCCATAAGAAGACATTGATGTGTGGCCTTGGGGTGCCTGTTGGCTGCAGGATGAAGCATGCCAAGGGAATGTTTTTAAGGCCTGGCAAACGGCAGGCTTGGACGCCCATAAGAAGCCATTGATGTGTGGCCTTGCGGTGCCTGTTGGCTGCAGGATGAAGCATGCCAAGGGAATGTTTAAGCGATGGCTTTTAAGGGCTGGCAAGTGGCCTTGGAAAGCTAAGAAGGAGAAGTTCCACACCTGCGGTGGTCCCAGGCTGCCTTGGCCAAGGCCGGGGTCGGCGGATATTCAAATAGGGGAACCCTATAGGAGAGGTGTGTTGCTGTGATGCATGGATGGCAGAACCATTTGATGGACCGAAAGGTGGCTGAGGCTCTGAGGCTCTGAGGCTCTCTCTTTCTCTCTATGTATCTATCCTAATTATCTTCCATCCATCTAATCCATCTAATCCATCTAATCCATCTAATCCATCTAATCCATCCATCCATCCATCCATCCATCCATCCATCCATCTACCCATCTATCCATCTATCCATCTATCTATGGATCTATCGACCTATCGACCTATCGACTTATCGACTTATCGACTTATCTATCTACCTACCTACCTATCTATCTATCTATCTTTATCTATCTTTATCTATCATTATCTATCATTATCTATCATTATCTATCATTATCTATCATTTTCTTTCATTATCTATCATTATCTATCACTATCTATCTATCTATCTATATCTATCTATCTATCTATCCATCTATCTATCTATCATTATCTATCATTATCTATCATGATCTTTCATTATCTATCATTACCTACCATTATCTATCATTATCTATCATTATCTATCATTTTCTATCATTGTCTATCATTATCTATCATTATCTATCATTATCTATCATTATCTATCATGATCTTTCATTATCTATCATTATCTATCATTATCTATCATTATCTATCATTATCTATCATTATCTATCACTATCTATCATTATCTATCATTATCTATCATTATCTATCATTATCTATCTTTACCTATCATTGTCTATCATTGTCTATCATTATCTATCATTATCTATCATTATCTATCATTGTCTATCATTGTCTATCATTATCTATCATTATCTATCATTATCTATCATTATCTATCATTGTCTATCATTGTCTATCATTGTCTATCATTATCTATCATTGTCTATCATTATCTATCATTATCTATCATTATCTATCATTATCTATCATTATCTATCATTATCTATCATTATCTATCATTATCTATCA